AAGAAGAAGAAGAAGAAGAAGAAGAAGAAGAAGAAGAAGAAGAAGAAGAAGAAGAAGAAGAAGAAGAAGAAGAAGAAGAAGAAGAAGAAGAAGAAGAAGAAGAAGAAGAAGAAGAAGAAGAAGAAATTAAATCCGCCGCCTTTTAAATCTTGGTGTCATCGAGACATTCAAACCGCTACGTTTTTTCGTATTGCTATTTCTGTTCTTGTATTCATAGTTAAATGTTGTTTCATTCATTTTGTTTTTAATTAAAATGTGTTTTCGTGAAAAACGACGCTGTACGCAACTGTGTTTTAGTTGGACTGATTATGGTAAGTTACAATTCAATAAAAATTTTCATGTTATTCCCATACGTCAGACTCATTTAAACATTTAAATATTTTCGTATTTTGGTGTAGTTTTTAGCACCACAGTGATTTATACTTTCCAGTTATCATATTGAATGGTGCCCTACTTCTAATACATTTTACATATCAGTTCCTATACTTGACAGGAAATCACATTCTGTTTGTTTGTTGTAGGTGCACATATACACGGTTTCCCCCTTCCTGAGAGACGGTTAGTGATGTTCAGAAAATGTGTGCCAATCACTGGAATTATAGAGCCATAAACTGATGTGTCTGAAATTAGTAGGTGGGTCCATGTGTGTATATGTAAAAAATATATTTTTTTATTTGTAATTTTTTATTGTAAAGAAAAATTTGCTTGCCTATGTTTTAAGAGAATATGTTCAGAGTGTTTAAACTCGCAAATAACAACAAGTTGCCAGCTTGCATGTGACTGACAATATTTTGGGGTTTGGTTTTAATTACAGGGTATGCATTCTTTTGTGACCGCGCTATACTATTTATTACCGTAAATGTAATTTTCAAATATATGTATTAAAAATTAAAATATTGAGCTAATATCATGAAAGTCATTGATGTATATGTACTTGCATAGATTTAAAATTAAGTTATGTAGAAATATAATAAATAATGTACAAAAATATAAAAATATTTTGTTTTTATTTCCCCAATAATAATAGGATCATTTTAATAGAGGTATTTCATAGAAGGCTACTTGATATCGGCTCACTATATTAATAACTACATAAGTGGGTATATTATTTTTGAAC